ATTTGCTTTCGTGTTTCATTATTTACACTGTATCTTCAACGTGCTGCTGTCGATTAATTTATAAACAACTTGAACAATGTCACTATTTTGTTTTGAAGCTTTCGTGACGGCAGGAATCCATACTCTTTGGTTATTTCGGTATAGTCACGTAGGTAGAAAAATAAAATAAAATATTTCATTTTACCGAAAGAACCAAAGAGTATGATGTCACTTCTTCTTGGTTCTTTCGGTAAAGTCACGTAGAAGGGAAGTAATAAAATAATAAAAATAAAACATAATAAAACAATTCTCACGACGTTTCGGCCACAACGCAAGCAGCCGTCCTCAGGCGAAGAATGAAGCACCACCAAGCTTGGAGCGTATATTTAAGCTGGGTTAGAGGGGGGGAGGTGGGAAGAAGAGCGCCTAAACAAAATAATTTGCATATCAAGAGGAATTATTTTGTTTAGGCGCTCTTCTTCCCACCTCCCCCCCTCTAACCCAGCTTAAATATACGCTCCAAGCTTGGTGGTGCTTCATTCTTCGCCTGAGGACGGCTGCTTGCGTTGTGGCTGAAACGTCGTGAGAATTGTTTTATTATGTTTTATTTTTATTATTTTATTACTTCCCTTCTACGTGACTTTACCGAAAGAACCAAGAAGATGAATCCCTGCAGTCACGAAAGCTTTAAATCGAAATATAATGTCACTATTACTTAAAAAAATGACAATTGGGTTTTAATAACACACACCACTGCCATGACATTGCATTTAACCCGTCCATGTGTTTTTTTAACGGGAGCTCTTTGATTCAAATCCTTGAACAGAGAATGTTGACACTTTGCGCATGCATGCATTGCCTCTCCATAATGTGCCTTTTGTGTGCCGAACCGTCTCTCATAGCAACAATTTATTATTTTTTCAAGTCAGTGTATGGGCTTTTATTGCTATGCTTGCGATATATGTCCATGCGTTCAATGACATTCCACACGTTTTTACAAAAGACCAACACGCAACACGAGTTCTGAAGCAGCGGCTTTCCTGAAATAAAATACCAAGGAATGTCTGTGATTGGATGAAAATATGGTTTAAAATTCGATAAAAAAAAAGAAAGCTGCCGTGACAGTAGTTGCCCAAGTCTTGGTTTCACATCTGTATTTACAGAAGCCGTTCCCTTCTCGTAAACTACAAAAACTCTAAAACCAAATTGCTCGGAAACTCACAAACATCTCACAACATTTTTATATTCTCGTTAAATGAAGGAAACGTATTCTTAGATTTGTTTACCAAGAAATATCTCACCGCGTGGAAATACCTTTTTTCAAGAGGGTCCTGCTGATTTTTCACAGTAGGGGTGTGTGACAATTACTTTGTGTTTCCCAATTAAGTCATTTCCAAGTATATGTCAATATAAAAAAATTAAGCCCTGATGCCAGCACACACGTCCTACTCTTTTTAGAATAACGTTACGGGATTTTTAATAACAATAATGATGCAATTTATAACGCGCGCAAATTTGCGGACGTAACGGCCGCTACTCAGAGGCAGGCGGCACTTATTTTTCTGTTGTTGTCATTAATATGCCCGCAGAATTAACTAGGGTGGCCGTGGGTTCGAACTGCGAAGCACTGCAAAAAGCGGCAATGTCACCACCCTTTCAATACCAAAGCCAAGATCGGCGTAGTTTCTGGGCAAGATAGGCCATGAGTTACATTATACAAAAACGCATTTGGTTAATGTCGCATGCCGCACATGAAACATGTGTGGGTATGTCTTGACGTGTGCGCCAAACGGACACGGCGGGAGATGGTATTCTGCCCTACATTGATGTAGCCTAACTCGCCAAGAGGGCGCCATCCCACACTATTGACAGAAGTCATCATCACTCACTTGTTATAGATGTATATCAGTATGACTCATATCTTTTATTTAGGGTATATTAGCTCACAGGCTTGTGTGTAAGGGGAGTTGTGTGAATATACTTCACTATACTGGTTACTTCTTCACTATGCCGTGCAGATTGGTAAAAGGAGCACATTTTGTCCCTTTACTTTATTATATTTTGGTTGTGCTTTGGATATATTGTCGTTTATTTTACGTAATGTACTCAGCCTCCTTTCTTCCGCCATGCTTTCATGATTCGACGTGTTCACTCAATCTTCTGTTGTGTTACCTAAAACATTCGTAAAAGTATTTTTTAATCGTTTCACAGAGTTCTGTGTGGGTCGACATTAAACAAATTGTTTGGTGATGCTGCATCGGCAGCGGTGCCAAGCGCAGTTAACATAACGCGCAACATACTCATCAACAACACTGCCTCAAAAGAAAAAAATATGTATAATCGGCGACGTTCTGGGGAATAATCATTTTTCTTTATAGAAGGGCCATTACCCGAAACGTCACCGATTATATATTTTTATCTTTTAAGGTAGTGTTAGATGACGAGTGTGTTGAGTTTTTGGTATAGATTGTAGGTTGGCGATTTTCCAGTCGAAACTGGTTAGCCCTTGAAAAGACAGATGGAACCATAGCACGTGATAGAGATAGGATCTAAAAATGTGTGCCGGAATGCTATGAAAATCACTACAGAAAAAGTAATATATCCCAGGATTCGAACCATTTTGCAGATGAAGAGGAGGAAATTCCATACGTCGCACGGTATTGTTTTCTGCGCTTGTTTACCCAGGAAATCCTCACTGAGTCTCAAGACTCTTTTAATGGAGGGTTCTGCCAAGTTTTTCTGACCTGCCCCTATTGGAAATCTGTGAAAAAGGAGCTTTATAGCTCATCGGATGCCTCCAGTATAAATAAATATTCTGATTCTGGTTTTGTAGTAGGTGACAATGTTGCTACGTGCGATCGCAATTAAGTCATTTGTTTAGAATTTTACAGCAGGAGAGCGTTTGGCCAATTCCATTTCAATTGTATATTGTTAGTTATGGTAGGAAACCGGAGAACCCAAAGGAAACCCATGTAGGGCAGGGGGAGATTACAACGCCGTGCATACAAACTCCAGGAGACGAACCCAGGTTGTGCCACCGTTAAATAAGTAAAGAATTCCCCTCGCAGTATGAATAAAGATACATCTCCTGTACCAGATTAAATTACTGTGGACATCATCAAACAAACAGGACCAGATGTTAGAACAAAATGAGTGTGACCAATTTACTAAATGTTTACACAGAAATGAAATAATTAAAAGAAGAAATGATGGCTAAACATTTCTCGATTCAAAAGGGTAGCCAAAACTGGCTTGAAGGATTACAGAACCCAGGAGCCTATTATTGCATGTTCATAAATTGTTTATGGCTACCATTGGAAATATAAGAATAAACAATCTATAGGCCACGCAGCAACGTGAGCAAAGATAAATTTAGGTCCAGTTTTTTTTTCCTCATCAGATTTTGGTAGACGAATTAATATTAAAGTCCGTTATGCCTAGCCTTTGCAGGCTTTGGAAATACATTTGACACTAGGTGGAAATTGATGCGGTAATCCAAGTGCTCACAAACCTCTTGTACAAAAAAAAAACCATTTGGAAATAAAGAAAAAAAATGTGCAAGAATGGAACGACTACACTTTAGATGTTATGAAGTAATCAACATTGTACATTTCAGAAGGGGAGTCAGAATTCCAACCATGTAATCAACAGCCAATTTGAAGATATTTTACAATCATTAGATTGGAAAAATAAAGGCATAAATATAAATTAGGAAGATTTCAACCATCGCAGATTTGCGGATGACAACAAGCAATGGAATTGAACGAACAGGAGGAATTGATTGTGAATAACTTCATGAATAACGCTCTAAAGTCGGGCTCAAGATAAACATGAACAAGAGCAATGTACTTATATTACAAGTTTGTATCACGGATAAAGATATCTGTAAGAGGGACATACCAAGGGAATGCATACCTATGCAGTTGTTCAAGGTGGATTAAAATGAAAATAATTAATTAAGCGGCAGACGAGAGTGGGTTGGAGTGCTTTTAAAAAAAAATCTGAAGTTGAGAATGTAAAGCAGCAGACCAATGTAAATGAAAAGAAAAGTATGTATCACCTGATGTGACATGAATCATAAACATTGACACTGACACAGAATATGAAACAAAAGCAGAAAAGTGTGCAAAGCATGGAGCGATGCATTTCTGGGAATACCACTAGCAGACAGAAAGAGTAACATATTGATCAGAAGACAAACACAAGTGAGAGCTATTATTTTGACTGTTAGTAAAAAAAAGTGGGCTTAGGTAGACTCCATTGCTAGATGCGATGATTGGCCAATGGTCGAGACTAACAACGGAATGGCAGCCAAAGGTGTTTAACAATATAACCACATCAGGATAATGGAACCAATCAATACTCATACTCTTTGGTTCTTTCGGTAAAGTCACGTAGGTATAAAATAAAATAAATCACGACGTTTCGATCCACTGCAGTTCCACTGCTGGATTATATTTTTTCCGCCTGAGGACGACCGCTTGTGCTGTGATCGAAACGTCGTGATTTATTTTATTTTATATCTACGTGACTTTACCGAAAGAACCAAAGAGTATGGATTCATGCAGTCACGAAAGCTTCAAATCAAGATTCAACTCAATACTCGCTTGCCATATGTGACATTACTTGCACAGATCTGGCAATGAGCCCTGCATGGTGGCCAGGAGATGGCAGTGCAACATAAGATTGAATCCATCTGTGCGGAACTTTGAGAATAATCCCCTTGTAATGTGCGGGTTTCCCCCAGGAACCCCAGTCTTTCTCCCACATGCTAAACACCTACAATATGAGAGCAACGACATTAGCCGAACATGCAATGCAGGACTCCCTTGGAAAACAATTTTTACGAACTTGGTGAGTTTACAAAGATCGAAATGTCATCATGGCCAAAACCATTGATGCCACCATACCTCACCAACGCTTTCTGCCCTATCCCACTGATACTTGCACAGCAGACGCGCGGCGTTCAATGTTTACCCGAAGAGAAAGGGGATTATGATCATGACAGTTCAGTAACTTACCCAGCGGCAGGACCAAGAAGAATGGAAACCAGCAGAGGACAAAGACCCCCACGACAATGCCCACGGTCTTGGCCGCTTTCTTCTCTCGGGAGAACTTGAGGATCCTGACAGAGAGGGACCCCCGCAGGTGATGGGGCTCCTTGGCCGAGCCGTCATCCCGGCCACGGTGGATGCGCAGGGTGACTTCTCTCATGTTGGCCCTGGCCCTCTTGACCCCGGCCTTGAGGCTCTCGGTTTGCCTCTTGGCCGCGGTGTAGACCTTGCAGTACATGCCCAGGATGACGCACATGGGGATGTAGAAGGACAGCATGGACGAGAAGAGAGCATAGCCTGGCTCCTCAGTGATGCTGCAGATAGTCTCGTCATCCGGCGGAGGCTCCTTCCAGCCGAGCAGAGGCCCCACGGAGATGACGATGGACAGCACCCACACGCTGACCAGTACGAACAAGGCCCGCCGCTCGGTCATGATGGCCGGGTAACGCAGGGGATACCCGACGCCCACGTAGCGGTCCACGGAGATGACGCACAGGCTCATGATGGACGCCGAGCAGCAGAGCACGTCCACCGCAGCCCACACGTCGCAAAAAGGCCGCCCGAAAGCCCAGTAGCCCATCACCTCTAGGGCGGCGGAGAAGGGTAACACGGTTGTGCTCAGCAGGAGGTCCGCCAGGGCCAGGTTGGCAATGAAGTAGTTGGTGACCGTACGCAGGTGCCTGTTGCAGAACACCGAGAGGATGACCAAAATGTTGCCCGCGATGGCGAAGATGATGAAGGAGCCGAGCGTCAACACGAGACCCACGACGCGGGCTTGGTCCTGCAACAGCAGCAGCAGCTGCTGCTGCTGAGGAGATTGAGAGGTCCCATTTGCGTCTGGGGCTGGAGTCACTGCTGAAATCGACAGCGGGGCGTTGGTGACACCCCAGGAGGAGTTCTTCATCTTGGCCGGGAAGGTGAGCTCATCCTCTACCCGATTGGGATTCCACGCACACAGGGCTCGCCTGCATGCTGCACACGGGGTCCTTGACAAGAGAAACAAACACATATATACAAATATATCTCTGTGTGGTTATTGGGGAGGAAAACCCGGAGGATATGAATTGCGAGCTATAATTGGCACATTTTGTTACTTGAACACGTAGGCTTTCGCGACCATATTATCCATACGAGTTTTTTTTTCAGTGTAAGCGCTACCGTGAGATAAGTGAAACCACTTGGAATGCGCCGGATCTTGGAAGGTCAGCAGGCGTTGATGTTGGATACGTGACCGCGGCAGTGCGAACACAACAGTTGCAGTAGGCGCCTCGGGCAGTAGAGGGCAATGCAGCGACAACAGCGAAACCAATCCCATTGTTTTTTTGCATTCCACCCATCCACAACATCACACCGAGGCACACTGCCCAGCGTGAAGGATGGTCGAATACTCCTTCACGGCCACGTGAGCGCGTGGTAGGGGACGCCCTGATATCCAGCACTTGTACTGCACGGTTATTGTATTGATGCGGCTTCGTGTTCCCTCCCACACAGAGTAGCAACGCGTGCGAGAGTTGGTGCTCATGAGATCCATACCTGCAACTGGGCGGAAGGTCACTTGTCCAAACGAATGTGTAGCTCGGTAGTAGGCAGTGACGATGACAGACGTGAAGTTTTTTTTTACAATACGGATATAGTAGTCGTACTAGGAGTCAAGCATCAAATAACTTGTGACTCCTTAGGTATATGCCTGCGAACCGGACGCAGATGCCTTCTTCAGCGTGTACATATAAGACGTGGTTGTGTTGGTATTTTTGAACTGTGTCGGATTGGTATTATTCTTCATGTAAAGCCACGGTGAATCGGCATCTATTACTCCTGTAATCTTAAATATAATTTACTTGAAAACTTTTTTTTTACTTTTTTTAGAAATAAAGCCACTGCTGGTTAATGTATCTGTTAATTAGATTTGGCAGGACAAAGCGCGCCTCTGAAATCTTCTCACTCGCTGAACGTATAGGAGCTCGCAATTCCTTTCTTTACATGTCAATTTCCTTTCACAATAACTGATATTTGTTTTTTGATAGCACTGGTCTTCCTCTGTAGATCTGTTGCTTCGCATTTCCTATGATCGTTTGAAATGTCCCAAAAAAGGTGTGTTATTCCCAGTTTCCAATAATATATATAATTTAATATTTTAATCAGCGACTTTGATCTTGAGCGAGAGAGCACGCGTCACATTGGCTGCATGTTTTTGTGGTCACTGGTTTGTTGCCTGGAGTTATGTAAGTTTTTATTTATCGCTGTTTACAAGAAAAGTCCGTCTCCAAGTTTATAATGATCATTGATTCGCAAGTCCATCCCTGCACGACTGAGAGAGAGAGAGAAAAAACGGACCGTTCTAAGCACCCGCATTGAATCAACTCCAGACGCGACAGATGAGTGAATTACCTTCATTGAGCAGGACGCATTGCAACAAAGAGGACGGGCGGTAGGCAATTACTGCAGACGATGCATTGTCCTCTGAGAGACGTCAGCTCGCAAAACTTCATCACGTTGTTGAATTCTCCCCCACCCCACCCCCGACAAATCCCCGGCGCCGACTGGACTATTGTTTTTCCTTCTTCTCCAAGAATGAAGCCAAAACTTTGCTCCTCCTACGCGGATTCCCGGCAGCGTGGAGGAGGAGATGAAGCAGATGAAGAGATGGACTGAGCCGAAGTTCTTTGCAGGATGGCGCTCGAGGGAGGGAATGGGAGCGAGAGGCAAGTGGGAAGGAAAGGGCAGGGGGTCTGCCTGGGAACGGCCAGGGAAGGTGGGAGGGTTTGGTGGGGGGTGAGATGATGACGTCCGATTTGTAGCAGGGATCAGAAAAGCACACCGTGGGATGCCGAGAGAGAGAGAGAGAGCGATGGAGCGAGGCTCGGGGAATAAATGTGGCTCGCATAAGAGCATGAGTTCTATTCAAGCAAGGAAAGAAAAACACCTGCCAGTCTTGGCATGACAACTTATATGTTTAGCTTGGTGAACCAAACTTTTGAAACGCCAAGATCACATTCTAGTATTGAGATTTGGAAGCCTTGCAGTATATCAATGAAGCGATTAGCCACGCCGTTTCAAACATGTGAGTTGCTTGACCGCACTGAACCTCGCTGGTCAGGGCAGTTGGGTGGAGGGCTGGTTCAGATATCAGTCGCCACTGATGTTAGCCGTGGGAAGAACCCATACTCGGATCGACAGGTTCCATAGCGCAGTGCGCTAACCACCAAGCCACCTTGCCACGTGATTGAGATTAAGCACCCATATTAAACACACATTTTCTCACAGCGTAGTAGTTATTCTATTTAGAAATCATTCAGTGGTCATACATCAATGAGATAACTTCGTTTTTTTTACTGCCGAATGTTTTAAAATCCTCGTGGGATACTCCATTCAGCTTACGTGCTATATGTGTTTTGTTTTGTTAAGAGTCGCTGCTCAGAGTTGATGGTGAAACGAGTATATTTCCTGGTTCAGGAGAATACCCTTCGTTGACTTTGTGGGAACCCTCATCTTTAAATAGAGAGAAAGCAACAGCCAGCTTGCGGTACTGTACTGGTCTCACGACACAGGACGACTCCAACTTGAATGGAGAGGTGAAGGCAGTACTTTTAGAATAATAAAAACAACAATAACGCACACAATGCAATATGTCGCAGACAAATTACTGTGACTCTGAGGGTGCCACTTTAAATCCAAACCTCTTTTCGATCTCGCAGTTTTACATTGCAAAAAATAACGAAATTACACATTGCTTAATGAGCTTTCTGTCCAATTATTCAGACCGAATTACATCTTTAAACATTTGTTATAACAATTCTCGTTTATGTAAAAAATAATATTGTCTTTTAAAATGTTGCGGTACCCAGCGCGAGTGAAATTGGCTGCCTATGAGCATTGTAATAGAGTGCCGTAACAATTCCCAGTGAGGTGATTCGGGTGACTAAGGGATCAGAGAGCACAGAGCCAGGACCGTTGAGATGGAAGAAAAACACCTCGTAGATTAAACTGGGTTTCCTTGCGTAGCGAATTGATGGGCTACACGCACACAAACACATCACATGTAATTGTGTTTACCACTTAATTTGTTATATCCCGGCTCTGAGAATTGAAAACGTAGGTCTACTGAAGCAGTTGCATAAGCAGTGATGTGACGTCGATCAGGGTCATTCTCTGACACAGGGTGATGCACTGCTAGCTGTAAGAGTTTCAAACGGAATTTTATTTTTCTCATGATATTATTCCTATTATTGGGGAGGGAGTAGGGACGCAAAAAACAACGATGACAATGGGGTTTGTCAGTTAGCTTACATGAGTTTAAATAACAGTGATCTCACAATGCCAATACTACACATTTTCGAAGAATAACGCCAGTTTAACACGTAGGCTTTCGCGACCACATTTATATTTACGCCATCTAACCCAAAAAAAAACCCCGTTATTATGGAAGGACAATGTGTTGCAGTCCCACACCTCCCATTAGCACGGTTAACTCCATATTCTGCGAAAGAGGTTCACCATACAATACAAACAATGTTACGTCAGTTAAATTTTGATTTAAAGCTTTCGTGACTGCAGTGATTCATATTCTTGGTTCTTTCGGTAAAGTCACGTAGAAGGGAAATAATAAAATAATAAAAATATAAAACAATCAAAATTCTCACGACGTTTCGACTGCAACACATGATGATTGCTTGTGAAGTACCGGTGAAGACACTTGACGCCGAGGTGGAGGCACACGGATATTTATTCAACACAACTCGTATGTGACATACAGCACTGGAGGGGGTATCGGCCCCCTCACCCGACTAGCTAAGGATTCACTTCCTGGCTAAGTCCTAGCCTACCTCACAGTCCTCCACTACTGGGCTAGGGGAGGCTACTTGGCCCGACACTGGTAAGTCGGGCCGGTACCCGGAGTCCCAGACCAGCTCTTAGAAGAGCACCGGCTCTGGCTTTCGGGACCACGCCGCTGGCTCGGTCCTGTTCGGCCCTGATAAGGACATCGAACGAGGGAGTCCAGGGCTCTATCTAGGACGTCTTCAGTCTTCTTAGTTAACTATAACATAACTAACTCCCGAGCCCATATAACGTCCCCTTTTATACCCAACCCTCCTTGAGGGGTGGGGCCCCGGGGGATCATAACGCCAAACCAGCCCCCCCCAGGGTGTCTGGCTCGGACGTCGCAGAGGGCATCTCCCTGTGCACACACGTAGCCCCGCCCACTGTGTTTCTTTCCCATAGACTGCCATACATAACGGCCCTCTCTCTAACATCCCTACACTTGTGTTGTAGTCGAAACGTCATGAGAATTTGTATTGTCTTCTTGGTTCTTTCGGTAAAGTCACGTAGAAGGGAAATAATAAAATAATAAAAATACAACAATAAAATACATTCTAGATTTGAAGCTTTCGTGACTGCAAGTATTCATATTCTTAGGTTTTCGGTAAAGTCACGTAGGTAAAAAAATTTTAATTAATAAAAGTAAAATAAAAATAAAATTAAAATCACGACGTTTCGGAGGCAACACAAGCTTCCGTCTTCAGGAGGAACTGTCACAGCACGATAGTATACTTGATACAGCTATCGTGCTGTGACGGTTCCACCTGAAGACGGAAGCTTGTGTTGCCTCCGAAACGTCGTGATTTTTATTTTATTTTTATTTTACTTTTATTAATTTTAATTTTTTTACCTACGTGACTTTACCGAAAACCTAAGAATAAAATACATATCTGTTCTTAACCTGAGGACGGCTGCTTGCGTTGTGGCCAAAACGTCGTGATAATTGTATGTTATTATGTTTTATTTTTATTATTTTATTATTTCCCTTCTACGTGACTTTACCGAAAGAACCAAGTATATAATAATAATGATGTCTCGGCAGTTACAGACAACGAATTCTGAGTTGCATTGACATACTAGTGAACAATTCGAATAGGCACCGTGTGCAAT